TTTCAACCCCAAATACATTTTTTGTTTGCTTGCATTAATTCAATTTCTTCCTTTTTCCCTGAACTCCTTTGTCTCCCTCCCTCCAAAATTAATCCAAAAAAGTCTTGAATTTTGCTGTAGTTTAGGACTGTCACCTTGGTATTAATCTGATTCCCAGTAATTTATTCCTTGTGAAATATTTTAGCCTTTTTTTCTTTTTTGAGGGTTTCCTGTTACCTATGTTGCCTCATGCACTTGAGAGTAGCTCTGTATTGACATCCACAAAAGTGTTTTATTGTTCTTCTTAAAAGTCTCCTCTGTTATGATTTATGGAAAAACTTGACAATGCTTAGTCTACCAGAGTGAAAAGTCCTGGTTGACAAATATTGTCTCCTTTTAGTTACTGTCTATATCCACCTATTATCTCTTGTCTTATACTTAGGGCCAGATCCTTTACCACCTAATAGACACCTATATGCAATCTTACTCCACGGTGTTGGCATTCTAGAAAAGCAGTTAATATATAAAGTCTGTGACACTTCCACCTCTTTGCTGCCTTTTGTGACTCAGTATTTAAGACTAAGCTGATAATATTTTGCAAAAGCAGATACCTTAATGGATTTTCAGGGACTACAGATAGGACCTTAGGGTGCCTATACACATGCAGGCCAGGCATTTCCAAAAGCGCTGTAATTTTTATGCTTTACTTAACATGCTTTAAGTACAGGGCCTTAAAATTTAATAGATGTTCCATGGTTTGGTGCAAGTTTCATGCCTTGTAATTCTGTAGAGTAGAAGGCAGGGGGTGCTGAATGCTGCACAATGTAGCTAATTATCACTTTGAAAAGCTCCAGTTGAATACATGTGCAATAAAAGTGGACAAGGTAGTGTGAAATCCACTACCTCAGTTTTTCTTACATTTAAGAGACATACAATGAGGTTTAATTAAGTCAGCTTCCACATTTTAAAAAACTTTCTGAAGTCATCCACATACATTAAGTGAAGGCTTTAGGATGCTTTAAATGGTGAAAATCATCACATGCTTTTGGCACCCTTAGATCATAAGCTCTTTGGAGCAAAGTATATTATAAAAATGTGCCATGTACTCTACCTAAAAAATATGGATCAGCATGAATGGAGCATTTATGGAGGATATGGATAAGAGACTCTTTACAGCATTTTCTCAGGTTTTTTAACCTGAGGATTTCTGTAGAAGAAAGTGAAATTATAGAAGAAGCTGTGAGTGATGTCAGGCTGAAAAGCCAATAGGTGGTACAACTCAGATCTTACAGCAGTGAGCTTGTTTGTAGTAAAGGAACATGGGGAACCAGATAACTGAACTGGAAAAGATAAATTTGTAATAGACACTGAGGTCTATGGGGTCCAAAGATCTTGGTCTCATCAAGATGATGCATTCTTTGGAAAGCAAGTGGCCAGCCCAGTTGGATGAGTCTGGAGAAATCTTACAGGAAACAGGGAAACTCTTACCAGAGTTAAGAAGAGACCTGAAACAGACAAAACACATCATAATCCATGCCGCTAAGAAAGTTCTTTTTACTATCAGCCAGACACTGAGTAGGTTCATTACTCTGGGAAACTCATATGAAGTAGAAGTGACCAAATGGGTATAGGTGATTACTGAAGAAAAAAATGATGAAACCCTTGATTTATGTATAAAAATCAAAGCATTAAATAAATTAACGTTTTCTGCTATGGATGTATCAGCAGGGTTCTAGCAGGTTTTCTAACACTTCTTTATAGATGCTCAACACCTGCTTTGGAAGACACTGTTTCCACAGCATCTGTTTGGCTTATGTTTAGCATGTGAAGTCTTTCACATGGAAATACAACAAATATCTGCTGGTATGAAGGATACCAGGATTCACGCAGATGACATTTTGATCTGGGGCAAACCATTAGCAGAAGATGAACAAGAACTCTTGGCAGCCCCACAGACAAGAAGAGCTGCTGGGCTAAAGCTGAGCTAACAGAAATGTTAGTTTTATGTAACAGAAATAACATAACTAAGAGAGAAAGTAACATAGAAAAATGAATAGGTAAACTGTAAAACTGAAATCATCACAAGCATGTTTTGCCCTGCAGACAAACATTCTTGGAAATGTTGAACTATTGAAAGAAATTTGTTCTTGTTCTAACAACTCAAAACAGAAACTTGAGAGTACTGCTGTGAAGAGATATGACCTGGGACATGAGATACTGTGGCAGTGAGCACAATAGTAAATTAACTGATGCATCAGATACATTTTTTGGAAGTCTATTTAAAATGGTGTGGGCAAAACGAAACTACTGGCTCGTGTGTCATGGGTATTAACAAACTTGAATGGTATTATAAATAGAAAAAACATTTAGCCTTTCCAGATGTGTATGTAAAGATTTAAAATATATATATATTTGTACTTCCTGGAGGCAAATATTAGCTGCCACTTATTGCCATTGCCAGATAGGTCTTGGCAACTTCTCCTTGATAATACGGCGATTCCTTCCCTACCTCCCCGCCCCCCTACATACACACACACCGCCCCCAAATACTAATATTTTATTTTCAAATCTGGCAGAGCTTTGGTGGCTATAGATGTACTTCTTAGTGTACTGACAGAAGTGTGTAGGAACAAAATCCAGAGCTAGTCATTGCACATGGATTTTTTTTTCTTTTTATCAAGCTGTACTCTCAGATGACGTGTGGACTATGATTGCCAGGGTAATGCCTTCTGATAAGAACCTATGTCAAATCATTAAGGCCATTATCATAGTGTGACTGGGATGGGACATTCTCAAGCTATCATCAGCTTAGGTGCGATCTGTCAATTCTAGATGGGATTTTATTTAAAAGCAAAAAAATTCTCTGAGAAATTACAGGAAGTCAGAATAAAAAGGACTGTACCAATGCAACATGCACCTTCACCTTTAGATATTTGTTTAATAGAAAACTGAGCACTAAAATGCCTGTAACGTTAGGAGTTCATATCAGAGGCACTGGAGATTTGCAGAAAGAAAAAGAAACAAACCTAAAGAAAAATATCAATATGTGTTAGGGTCCTAGGAACTGAACTCCTGGGAACCTATCTAGCTGCACTTTTAACCTCTGCTTTTGTGCAAGGCAAACTCTTTTAGGAGCATAAACATGAATCAGCATACTTATCCGGTGGAAATCAGTGCTCACAAATATCAGTGATATCACATGAGGTTTGCCCCACAGTCTTATAAACTTGTCATCCTTCTCAGACATTCAGATGGGAGAGATATAAGGGGCATTGTGTTCACCATTTTGCCTGAGAGAAGTCTTAACAGGTTATGAAAAATGAGTCCCAAGACATAGCCAGAACAAATATACTCACCAGCTTATAACAAGGCTAGAGTGATATTTCAAATGAGAATTTAAAGTCCAAGCAGCAGTAGAAATCAAGTTAGAGCTCAACTAAACATTGTCAGTGAGTTCAGTTAGTAGGCTGATTATAAGTGTTTGGAATTCTGTATTACATACATTGTGTTAATGGCTCTTGTTATTAAGCTCTGGCTGGGAAAGGGAGAGGCAACATTAGTGAGTCAATGAAGTGGCTTACTTTCATAGATAAGAAGTGTTTTGGGTAAGGGCTGAAGAAGCTTGTAGTCTCCTATGCAGTTGGAACTGGTTACTGAACAAAGGTAACTTCTTTTAGGGACCTTACCACCGAAGTGGTGTTTGGACGTCAAATCCACAGATATCACTAAATGTTGCAGGTCTGATTAGTTCTCTTTTTGCACTGATTGCCCTTGGGAAGAGTGAATGAAGCATTAATAAGAGACTTTCCAGTTCTGCCTGATGTTTTGTGTTGATGAACCTGATTTGTAGCAATACAATGTCATCTTACAAAGGCCATGCTTGACATTATTTCTTGATGTTCTGCCTGTATTTGGTACCAGAATGTTTATTTTAATTCTTGAAAACATTCTGTACTTTCAAACTGAGCATCACTCATTTAGATAGTGAGCAAAATCTGAGATCCTAAGCAGCAATCCACAGGCTTAGTTTTCTCAGTTGATGATTCCCACTTACCCATTATTTAGAGCAGCTGATGCTGGAACTAATGAAGAAACAGCTCCATGGTACAACTGGGCATATGACCAAGTATGAACATTCTTGTGCTTGTAATTTTGATGTTATGGATACTTACTTTTCCTGAAATTATGCCTTCAGTTCCCTTAGCACAAAACATTTGAACTTTAAGGCTACACACAGACATTTCAAAACCTGGGGTGGAATCAGTCTAAGTTACAAGGTTTTCTGTAAGTGGTGTAGTTTAGATTGGTGAACACACATTCGTTCTTTGGTTGTGGGGGGGAAGGGGAAGAGGGGAATCCTAGACTGGGTTCTGTCATTTTTAAACCAGTCTATATTGCTAAACTTCTGTTTTGTTACGGGTATTGGCTGGTTTCTGATCACTTATAGCGGTAAAAGTGTCATGCCTGTACCTAGCCTAAGGGCCTGATAAAGAAACACGTTTATTCTTAAGCACATGAAAAATTGATTTGAAACCAATGGTCCACCTTAAACTTAGTAATGTGCCTAGTTCTTTGATGGACAAGGGACTAAATGGAGGACACGTGATAAACAAATGGGCAAAATATTCTTAAAAAAATAAGAAGGGGTTTTCCTTTCTATCATCTTGATAAAAACAGAAAAGAAACAAGCTAAATACATTTATTTAAAAAGCAATAAAGCTGCAAACATCAAATCATGGATTTATTATAGCTGTCAGAAAACGTTGGAACCAGTTTGCTTCAGCAAGATTCCTTCATGTCAGCAAATCAGTCCTGCTGCTATGTGCAATATACTTTTACTTATGGAGCCAGTGTCTGAAAAGCCTGGAGTTGATCACTTTAAGAAAATGTCTAGTTTTCTACAAGTACATATGTATCTTTGTTTGGTTTTAATTCTTGAAAACATGCTGTTCTGTATTTTAATGAACTTTTTCGTTCCCTATTTTAAAGACCGCTCTTTTTGTATATATTTTCTCATGCAGAAGAAAAGCCTATTGTGATAGCTAAGGAAGTGAAAAGTAAGTAACTTAATTTTTCTTTTCTCCTGATGTTAATTTATGCAAGGGCTAATAGCATATTTGTTGCCTGGAGCTACTATTTTCAGAAAAGATTCCCATACCCGGCAACAATTTTCATGTAGAGCAAGATCTCTTACTTTATGACTCATGATAGTTTGTATGTGCTATTCTGTACAATTATACAGGCTGGCTTCATGTACATACTCATAAGACCAAAGCGTCACAAAATGAAATCTGGAATTCTCCCAACTCAGCTGATACCTCAGTCTAAATTGCATGACCTGAAGGAGCAAAGACAGATGTCTGTGAGGCGGGGCACAATGAGCACCTAGATTTGCCTTTATTTTACAAGATTCTTCTGGAGATTCATTTCCTAATGAACAACAGAAAGGAGATCATGAACAATGATTTCTTAATTTCTCATATTAAGTTCTGTTTTGCTAATTAATAACACTCATGCAATAACTTATGAAATTGCAGCATTTCAGAGATACAGAAAAAAACCATTTTCCACTGTTGCACAATGAATCTACAAAGCAGAAACAAAATGCATTCAAAAGACTAGAGTCAAGCTTTTTAATAGACAGTGGCTTAACTGCAATTCAGCATGAATAACAGATGTCCTATAATGACAGTTTTAAAGGTCCAATTCATAAAAATGTTATAGAGGTATATTATTTATTCAGGCTTTTCATGGGATTCTGCACCTATTCCTCTTGCAAGTTTTGCTTTCATTGGAGACAGGTTTTACAGGGGAAGCACTAACTCAGAACAGATGCAGGGCTACTGTATTACTGTAATAAAATCTTAGTTATACCAGGTTAATGGGTATAATTTATTGAATAAGTGCCTACATCTTAAATAATTATCTGGTGCGCACAGTGGCTCCATTTCTATCCTTACCTTTCCATGCAGCCTCTGAAGTATAAGTTTTCTGTTTAAGAGGCTGAAAATAAGCTCCTTAAGAAGTTGATTGGTTCAAACTGGGTACTATAGTTATAAAACATGTTTAAGTTGACATATTTTTGTACCTGTGCAGTATTTTTGCCATATGGCTGTCTAAGGATTGGATCCTATTTGAATCTTGGCACTTACTGCTTTATTAAGAAAAAACATTTTTAGTAAAATTTATGGATTCAACTCATTTTCTTTTTTTTTTTTCTTAGAAACTGAAGAAGAAAAGAGAGTAATACATGAAAGGAGAGTTATTCCTGAAACAAAAAAGAAAGGTATGGAACTGGAAAATGTATTAAAGATGATCCAGCTCTCATTTCAAGTCAATGGCCCAAAAAATCATGAATACAGTGTTGGCAGATCAAATCTTAAGTGCATAATACCATATTGCTATTCTATTACATAGTCCTTCCTTGCCTCTTTCAGAGCAGAGTTCCATATTTTTACTACTGTTTTAGTGTTTGGTATCAAATTTTTAAAAGTCTTCCTGGGTGACAAGGCAGAGAACAAATGCTAGCCATTGTAGTTTGCTCATTCTATTGTGAGGCTGTTCATGAGCTCATTAAACAATTATAATAGTTCACTCTGATGTATCAGCACATGATTATATATTGCCATATATGAAAATGGGTGGGGAGATGGTTTTTTACTCTGCCTGACACTTTCAGCAGCATCAGTACCATGCAGTTTATTAGAATCTCAATTCAGATTTGTAATGACTATGTGCCAAAGACTTGGCACCTGTCAGAACAGAATTTTAGTCTATAAATTCCCAGTAAACATTTGAAATGCACTAAGGGTTTCCTTTTCATGAGGAAATATTTATGTCATTTATGAATCTATTAATGATTTCTTAGCCACTAGAAATTTAAACTAAAAGTTTCCACATCCATGCACTGATGATTCTTGCCTGGCCTTTGATAAATTAGAAGGGGTCCAAACTCTCCCAGTGGACACTAATTCTCATTATCATGGCTAAGTACGGATATTCAAAATGCCTGAGCCTGATTTGATCCAGTTTTTCCTCCCCACCCCACAGTGGCCGGTTTCCACCCCTCCCCCCCCAATGGGCCCGGTGCTGTGCCCTCCAGCCCTGAGCCCCGAGGCAGCCCTGCAAAGAGCATCCCCCAGCCCTGTGGCAGAGGAGAAGGAGGGGGAGAGTCTGCTGTGACAGCCTGGCAGAGCCTGGGCAAGGGGAGCCAGGAGCAATGTGATCATACAGCTCCCATGGCCCCAGTCTGAGCTCCACCTCTGGCTGGGAAGGGCCCTGCCCCCGTGACCTGGTCCAGCCCAGTCCTACCATCCACCTGCCTTGCCTGGGGCTGTGGGGCTGAGCTGGGCTAGCACACAGGCACTGCTGAGGGCAGATGCGGAGGGGCTGGGCCGAACTGGGCTGGGCTGTGGGGCAGGGGCCTTCCTAGTTGGCTGCAGCTAAGACTGGGGCCGTGGGAGCTGTGCACCTAGATTGCTCCTGGTTCTCCATGCCCAGGCTAGGCTGAGCTGTCACAGAGCTGATGAATTAGTGCTGCACAGAGACGGCCCCCTGACCAATGGCAGGGGAGGAGGAGAAGGAAGAGAGGCCTGCAGTGGCTCCCTGACAGCCTGGTCTGGCCTGGGTATGGGTAGCTAGGAGGTATCTGAGCACACAGCTCATGCAGTCCCAGATGGCTGGGAAGGGAGCCCTTCTGTGACTGTCCTCAGCAGCACCTAGGGGTTGGCTTGGCTCAGCCCTACAGCCCCAGCCCCAGCCCTGGGCAATGTGAGCAGATGGCTGAGGCTAGGGTTGTGTTATTGAGCTGGAGTAAGCAGCAGCAGTGGCACGGCTGGGAGGGGTGGCTATGGGGTCTAAATGATGGTGGCACTGGAGGGTTATGGGGGGCTATGGCCACCCCAAAATTTTCCTTATCCCCCATAGTCACCCCTCTCAGCTCCACTGCTGGGAAGAGGCTTGCACTTCTGGAGCAGAGAGTACGGCCCAGGCTAGGGCTGCAGAGCATGGTGGGATGCTGGGGGACTCTGATTTAACTTAAACCAGGAAGGGGTCTGAGACAGAAGTTCCATAAATCAGTTTGACCTCAATCAGTTAAGTCTGATACTACATTCAACCAGATTTATCTTAAACTGATTTTGGCTATTTTGAAACTGGTTTATATGCATTGAACTTTTCTTCTGTTACAGGATTATACCAGTTTCTGATCACTTAAACTGGTTTATGTGTAATTTCTGTCCCTGGCCCATGTGATTAGCTGAGGTCATTGCAGGATGCCTGGCATGGCTTTACGAGCACTCGTGGTGCTCTGGTGTGGTGCCACAGGACTGGAATAGGGCCAACGTGGTTCCCATCTTCAAAAAAGGGAGGAAGGAGAACCCAGGAAACTATAGGCCAGTTAGTCTTACCTCGATCCTGGGTAAGCTTTTTGAGAGAATTATCCTGGCACATGTCCACGAGGGGCCAGCAGGGGAGGTTATGCTTAGGGCAACCAACAAGGGTACATTAGAGGCAGGTCCTGTCAGACGAACCTGGTGGCCTTCTATGATCAGGTCACAAAATACTTAGATGGAGGGGTAGCAGTGGATGTAGTCTTTCTGGACTTTAGGAAGGCCTTCAACACTGTCTCTCACCCCATTTTCATTAAAAAACTAGGGGACTGTGGTGTCAACACCTACGCAGTCAAATGGGTTGCCAACTGGCTGGAGGGC